AAGGTCCCTTCCAACCCAAAGCATTCTATGATTCTATCCTACAATGTTCTTGCATCCAAGTGAGGATGTCGTGGTCTGGATGGGTGGGCAAAAATCAGTTGATCAGTTGATCAGTTGATCAAGCACAGAGAAGAGCAGTTAGTAGGATGCGCTCTGCCAGGAGGCTGGTGAGAAGGCATGTACGGCAGGGGTCTGATCTGACAGCTGTCCCAAGTGAGGATGTCGTGGTCTGGATGGGTGGGTGGGCAACCAGCTAGGCAAAAATCAGTTGATCAAGCACAGAGAAGAGCAGTTAGTAGGATGCGCTCTGCCAGGAGGCTGGTGAGAAGGCATGTACGGCAGGGGTCTGATCTGACATCTGTCCCATTTGATGTCTTTGTCCATGATCTGGAGGAGGCCATAGAGTGTGTTCATGTCAAGCTCACAGATGAGCCTAAATTGGGAAGACCAGTTGATACTGGGTGGGGCTGCTGTCCTGAAGGACTGGGGTGGGCTGGAGGAATGGGCCAGCAGGAACCTCGTGATCCAGGGAGGTGACTACCCCCCTCAACTCAGCACTCACTCGTTAGACCTCATGTAGACCTCATCCGGTGCGGATGGCTATGCCTGGGGAGGGGGTGCAGGTTCCATCCTTCAGGCCCTGCTGGGACAAAGCTGGGTGCAGGCTGGCCTGACCCTGGGGCAGACTGGGTGTGGAGGAGATGTCCCCATGGATCCCCTCTCACCCAAGTGGGACATCTTTATATGCTGGTATGTTGCAATTTTTGGCTGGAAACAGAGAAAGGTCTGTGCCAGAGATCTACACAGCCCTTTGTGGATGGAAGAGCTGTCAGGTTTTATTTTTTTTAAATTTTTGACAAATGAGGCATCAGTTTCCACCTCTTCTGAGCTGAAGACTGCCTTGGACAAACATAAGCTCACTCATCTTCTCCAGTGATGACAAAGTACAGTGGTTTAATTGACACTGTTTCAGATTTTTCACAGAACTGGCTCTATCATTTCAGTGTGTAGCAGGGGAGTTCTTCCAAACCCCAGCTTCTGCACTATGATGCAATTGATAAAATTGACAGGTTTTAATTCATTTGTGGTTGCGAGAAGGAAGACAGGAAATAAATTGGTCTTGGAGGCACTTTACAACTCCTCTGAGTTACCTCAGGCATGAGTTTGTTGAGGCCACTCAACTTGGGATGAAGGCCCATCCCATTTACAACCCTCACAAGCCACCCAGATTCAGAAAGCCAAAACCTGGGAAGCTTTTGGAGTTGTAGAATTTTCTAAAGAATCCTAAATTTAGTCTTCCAATTCTTACAAGAGAGCAGGATTTGGCTAGTACAAGCCAGCTGAGGTAGACAGTGGGATTAAAAACTTCAGTGGGATAAGTAAAATATTCGTTTGCAGAGATCAATTTCTCAGTGACCATCAAACACTACATTTTGCTGTAGCTCTACTTGTCATGTCAGGTTCTCCCCTAGCACAATTTTGAGTGAGCCGGGAACTGTAGTCTGATGAGGCAGCAGGGGTAAAGGTTTTGTTTTACTCTAAAGTCACCCCCAGCCTTTGTGACCTTCTACCACGCTACCTTTTTTCAGATAGTTTAAGCACATTTTCCCAGAACTGAGCACTTACTGAGAAAGCATCATCTAGTAGTACAAGGAAGCAAAACACCTCACTTCATCAGTTTGAAATTGCTGTATTTGCAAAAGTACTTTCAAGATTAACTTACTTTCTAGATATTCCATTTCTTAAATACAAGGATTTATATTTGTGTAAGCTGAAGCTGGAGATTTAAGCATCACTCAGGAAATGTGAGAGTAATAGTCTCAATGCAATGTTGATTCATCCAGAAAGACTAGTATATATTTAATATCCCAACAAGTAATAATAAATACCATATGTATACAATAAAGCTTTAACATTGCTTTCAAGACATAAATATTTAAAACTTCATTTTCAGATGAAGCTGAATAGAAATCACAGCCAAGTCAAGCTGGTGAAGTTTTCAGCCAAAGCTGACTGAAAAGTAATGAATGAAAGAGTAAATAATTTAAAATTATTTAGGCACTCATACATAGGAAAAGACTAAAAACACCCAGTAATATCAGCTGCCCAGTTTCCATTTCAGCAAGCCTGGCTTCTTAAAGTTCACTTAAACCTGGAATTTGCTGTAGCACCTTAGGCCTTGGGTTCTCCATAGCCAATGTAAAGTGCATCAACGGCACAAACTGAAAAGGATGCAGCAGAATATGTACGCTGACATCATTCTCTCTGTTAGGACTGCAAGATTTGTCTCTGAACTGCCCATCCAAGACATCTTTGTCCGGAATCAGATTTCTTCACCTGACTCCACGTCCCAGCCACAAGACTCCAGCTGCTCATCCTGTGGAAACTCAACCTCAATGTCATAGATGAAATCTGGGTCTTCCTTCTTCTTCCTGTTCTTTTCGAAGAGCTCATCCATGATGCTCTTCCTTTTGGCTAGTTCCTTGTCATCTAGTTTGTTCATATCCTCTTCTGGGTCAATGGGCTGTTCCTGCAGAAACTTTTCTAAGCTCTCAGCCAGGCTCTCTCCTCCCAGATAACCTTTCAGCAAACTGTATAGCTTCTTTAGCTGACGCAGCGAGACTCCTTCTAGGTAAGCCTTGTGCCGAGGGTTATTCTTCAGCTGCTCAGCAGCCAAGCCACAGTCTAAAGAGAAAGCCACCATGAAGACTTATAGCTGCAAGCAAATCTCTTCCCATAAACAGATTATCTTCTCCTAAACCCTCACAAGTGAGACTTCCAGACTTAGCAGAGTCACTACTCAGGTTAAGATGTAGCCCTGGGCTCCTCAGGGGAGACAGTGTTACCCCAAAACAACCCCTCTTTGCACTCCCTGCATGCCAGTCAGAAGCTACCCAGCAGTTACTAAAAATGCTATTCCCAACTATCTGTTCCTCTCACTGTGTCTGGAGAGGACTTGGGGAATGCTACAAGTAAATACACCACACCTGAGAACTTGGAGAAATTTCTGACAGGCATGATGCGCTGGCGAGTCTTATCCTTGTTGTCTTCTTTGTAGATCAGGATAACAGATGGAGGCTGAAAGCAGATGCCGCACTTCTTTGCAATGTAAGTCATTACAGTTCTTGGTGCTGGCTCAAGTGTGGTCGGCTTTATCAGAGGTGTCGGCAGCAATGTCAAAGCTCACTGAAAAACAGGAAAAGGAAAAATGGAAAGAAAGTGTGAGCGCCCCTTGGTACTGTTCTTTTTATCAGGGTTAGAGTGACCCAAGTTCAGCAAAAACATGCAGCCATGGCGTAAGTCTCCCTGATTTCAGTGGAAGTTGAACACGTCCCTACATGCTCTGTGAGCCAGGTGCCAGGGCGCAGAGTGGCTCTCAACTCCTGGTTTACACCTTTGTCACTACTCAGGCTTTGAATCAGGATTACGTATCGCACACAAGTTAATGTTTTTACCAGCTAAGTAAAGTACTGCACAGTCAAATGATACCTAAAAGACGTTTTTTATATTTATTAATTTTTTTAAGTGAAAAATGTCATTAAATAGTAAATCAGTGTATTACAGTTTCTTCACAAACAACTTCTACTGCAATATCTGTTGCTCTGGAGAGCTAGGTATTGCTTACCTACCAAACTCTTTTCTGCTCTAACCACCACGCTTTTAACTTTGCATTGCCTGATGGTTCATATGAAAGTTCCAAGTGCGACTTCAGGGAGAACCCAATTTTTTCAATAAAGATCTAAAATTCTGCTGTAAGCTTATTTGATCATATTTGAAAAAAATTTTCAGTAAAATGCACCTAAAACAAAAATTTGAAATGTCTTGGAACCCCACTGAGTTTCTACAAAATTAAATATGAATGTTGCAAGAGATTCAATAAAGACAGAATACTATTACACATATTTGCTTTATAAAGATACAAATTGATTAATATGGTTCAAATTTCCTTTGTCTCTGTTTCTGTCACAAGCCTGGGGCCATTGTATTCCTTATTTCATATGGTAAGTGAGAATCTTGCATCCATAATGTTGATGTTTGTAACACTGGAATTCCCCTTTTTTTTTTTTTACATTTTAAGAGGAGGGGTACCTAGTCAGTTTTTATAAAGCTTTCTTACAGTTTCAGAGTGAACTCAGTATAGCAGCATATCTGTAACCGATGACAGATGGGATAAGGAGAGAGAAGAGTTTCAGAAATGAAGGACAATTAAATTAATTAAACCCCTTACTAGGAGACAATGAAAATATAAACTAATTTTAAAGAGAGGAGATGACATTCAACTGTTTACTCCTTCTCAAACTAAAATACACCACCAATGAAACTGAAAATCTAAGAATTTACAAGTGACAAATGGAAATGCTTTTTACACAGCATATCATTACTATTGGTAGAGCTTAAGCTACAAAACGTTTATGAAGGTCAAGAATGTCTTAAGATTTGAAAATGCTGAGCTGCTGCATGTGTGCACGGAAGAACTGGGAACTTTTGCGATCCTTAAAAGGTGGAGAAAGAGTGTGGATGGGGAGACAGGGCTGACTGACCCACTAAACATATGGCTGTATTTGTACAGATAGCACGAACATATTGTACGCACAAGAATTCAATTTTAAAGTAAGGACTACTAAACTCTCAAGTATCAGTGCGTCGGCCAGCTACTACATGAACGAGGTTAGGAAGTTAATCCATAATTATCCTTTTTACTCTTCTCTGAAGCATTTTGTCTTGCAACAGGAGAGAGGGAACATCAGTCTGACTGACAGTGACAACTTCTCTTTTTCTGCCTTATTGCATTTGGCTCCGTCCCCTTTTCAAGTCAGATGAAATATTAGAGGAAACTTACAGATCCAAATCTGCTGCAGATCCCCTTTCCCAGCTTAGTGTACAACACTGAATGCATGTGTTACCTTTCCTTTGGTTTTAAATAAGTGAAAATATGCCAAACATGAAGGTTGTCTCCTCCTCTGACTACCCTAGAGATTGTAGTAAGGCAAAGTAAGAAATTATACCCAAAAAGTTAACGTACGTCTCCAAATCAAGAAAAATTGCGTTAATCTTCAAAGGCTATTTCAAAGCTGAGTTGAAAAGTCTGCTGCCTTTGTTAAAAAACACATAGGAGAGTTCAAATTTGCAGTAATGTTCTCAATATTAAAAATTAACTAGAGCTGCTATACCTTTTGCTTTTAAATAGTTCTATAAGTTGGGGAGAAAAGCAGAAGTTGCTTAAGAGTCACTTTCACTATCTTAAAATGAGAAATGATGCTTCAAACTGAACTGAAACAGTTTTTTGAAGGGTCACTGACAATCACGAGAGCGGGCCTCCATCTCTGAAACGGCAAATAAATCCTTAGCTGAGAAATACAAACATGAGAAGA